AGTCCTTAGATTAATTAGCCACAGAGAAGATTGCTGGGGTGCAGCCGAGGCTTAAAAGAAAAAAAAAAAAAACACCAGCATCTGTCAGTCTGTGGCAGCGTGGTGCTGCGAGAAAGCGAAAAAGAGAAAAATATCTGATCCCTAAAACTGTCTGCGAGGCAACGGCTGGAAAATCACACCGAAGCTCCTTCGGGATGAGCTTTTGCTATCGGGCCTCCGTCTCGCAGGGCTTCATTTTTTGCTGCAGGCGCTGGTTTTCCACGCTTCATCTTGCACGCTGCCCGATTTTGCAAAGCAAACGGGAGCCCTGGGGACGGGCAGTTCGATGAAGAGGAGGGCAGCGCTCCTCCTTCTTCTGCTCTCTCCCAGGACATCTTATCAGTACAGGCTGGGGGAAGAAAGGATGGAGAGCAGCCCTGCCCAGAGGGACTTGGGGGTGCTGGTGGATGAAAAGCTGGACATGAGCCGGCCATGGGTGCTGGCAGCCCAGAAGGCCAACCGTGCCCTGGGCTGCATCAGGAGAAGTGTGGCCAGCGGGGCGAGGGAGGGGATTCTGCCCCTCTGCTCTGCTCTGGTGAGACCTCACCTGGAGCCCTGTGTCCAGCTCTGGAGCCCTCAGGGCCAGCTGGGACAGGACAGGAGGTAATGGTTTCAAACTAAACCAGGGTAGGTTTAGACTGGATCTAAGGAAGAACTTCTTTACAATGAGGGTGGTGAAACACTGGAACAGGTTGCCCAGAGAGGTGGTGGAGGCCCCATCCCTGGAAGCATTCAAGGCCAGGTTGGCCGGGGCTGTGAGCAACCTGATCTGGTTCAAGGTGTCCCTGCTCCTGCAGGGGGGTTGGACTAGATGACCTCTAGGGGTCCTTTCCAACCCAAAGCATTCTATGATTCTATTCTATGATTTTATAGTTTGCTTTCAAAGTGCCAGAAACAGCTGGCTGGTTGCTGCGGTGAAGGCCAGGCGGCCGGATGGCACAGGTTCAATTGCCATCACCTATTTCCAAACCTCAAAGCGCTGTGATTTCCACCCTAACTGTGGATAAAAATGTTTCTTCCCTGTGATCGTTGATGAACATTTTGCTCACTTGCAATTTCCTGTTGTTCTGCACAGCGGTATAAACCTCAAACACTTGAGAGAATAATTATGCTGAACAGTAAAAGAAAGCTAGAACAATGTCCTGGTTTCAGCTGGGATAGAGTTAATTTTCTTCATAGTAGCTAGCATAGTGCTGTGTTTTGGATTTAGTACCAGAAGGATGTTGATAACTCACTGATGTTTTAGTTGTTGCCAAGTAGTGCTCAGACTACTCAAGGACTTTTTGAGCTTCTCCTGCTCGGCCAGGGGCATAACAAGCTGGGAGTACAGCACAGCCAGGACAGCTGACCCAAACTGACCAAAGAGCTGTTCCAGACCATAGAACGTCATGCTCGGGGGGTTTATGTCGGTCGGTCGGTGGTGGGGAGACTGCTCGCGGCTCCGGGAGTGATCGCGGCTCGGGACAGGCTGGGCATCGGTCGGCGGGTGGTGAGCAATTGCATTGTGCCTCATTCATTTTGTATATTCTGTTATCATTCTCATTATTACTATTATTATTATTTTCTCTTATAAAACTGTCTCTGTCTCAACCCATGGGTCTTACTTTTTTTTCTTTTCTCCGATTCTCTCCCCCATCCCACAGAGGGAGGGGGGGAGCGGGGGGGAGCGAGGGAGCGGCTGCGTGGTGCTGAGTTGCCAGCTGGGTTAAACCACGACAAACAATTTTCCTTCTTTTTTAATGCCTTCCTGAGCAAGAACCAGCTGAAGGCAAGTAGCATCTTCTCTGCGTAGTATTACCCGATAAAAATTGATGGCCTCAGCCTTGCACAAAACTGAGGAAGACGCAGAGCAGGTCAGTGCAAGAAGCTGAAGTTTTCCTCCTGCAGGTCAGAGACACCACTGCAAACCGATCTGGAAAGGTGTTTTTTAGTTGGATTACTCGGGATGATCGGAACAGGCAGGGCGGCATCGCCGCTTATCGGGATAAAATGACCTTTTTGAGGTTTATTCCTCCGTTGTCACTGTGATGCTCAAGCAGGGGCTCAGTTTTATTGCACCTGAGCTGTTGAACAGCTGGCCCTTATATTTGTAGAATAAACCAGTCCGTCAGCAAGAAACTCCTAAACCCTCTTTTTTAAAAGAAAATGTATCTACTAAGGTGTAGTTTTTAGCTGAATGTTTTCTCCCAGTTTGTTTATTAATGAACCCTGATCTCATACCCGCTCTCCAGTGAAATCTCCGCTAACAGCGCAGCTCGGAGAGAGCACAAATCCATCTTCTCAGCCCTGCTCAGCAGCTATATTCGTTAAACTTCATTACATCAATTCGGTATTTTTTTTAATCTTTAATTTTAATTTTTTTTTTTTTAATCTTTAGGGTTTTTTTCAAATGTGGATGAAACCAGCCAACTCAATCAAAAGTTACTGTGGACAAGGTGGACAGACGCACACCGACGCTCACGTACGTGCAAGTGGATGTACTCAAGAAAATGGCACGGGCTTCATTTCCTTCGGCACACAGAACGGAAAAGAGATGTAAAAAAATGAGCCAGGTACGTATGAAGTGTCTGACGCTGCGATTGCTGCATTTCTGCAGATGTTGAAAGATGATGTCTGAGAATGCTTCTTATTTTTCTGAAGGATGAAGACCCAGACTTGGAAATAGGCAAGAGAGGTCCAGAAAGTCCAAAGGCCAAATTCTGCTTGTAGTTATGGTGGCACCATCGCCATTTACTTCAGGTTAACCTACAATCAATTTGCTATTACGCATAAAAACAGGAGGGCTGAGATACTGTGGACAAAATAAAAAAAACCCAAACCACATAAATAACGAGTCCTGAAAAGCACAAGTAACCTGAACCAAGGCCAGAGCTTTGCAGTGGTTGATCAACTGGGATGGATCCACCAAGGTTGTCCCTGCAGAGAAGCTGAGATGGGTCCCGGCAGATGGACCAGAGCTACCCCTGAGCCCAGGATCTTCTTGAGTCAGAAGTCCTAACCGGTCCCAGGATCAGCATGGATCTTTCCATGAGACTAAATTAAGGTTATCTGGACTCAAAATGACTGCACACAGCCACCTTGGATCTTCTAGGCTAATCCAGGGACGTCACCTGAAGGAGGCTGAGACTTGACAGCATTTCTCTACATCCAATGAACACAATGCCAAGAGCTTTCCAGTTATATACTAAAAAAAAAAAGAAAGTAAAGACAATGTGGTTTAGGCTTACTTTGTTAATACGGAAAAATGGCTGTGTCCCACAGGTGGAATTTTCTCAGTAAATTCCTATAAAATAAACAAATTCATTACGGGTGAAGGAAGAAAATGAAGACTGTGAAAACGCCAGAGTTTCTTCTAGCCTTAGTTGCCTTCCAAATGTTAATCACCTTCTTAGTTCTCG